AATTCATTATGGTCTGGCTCCTTTTAAAATTAGTACAGCCCCTTTTAAAATGCTCATGAGGAATTTTTAGGGTCCCGGATTTATTATTTATTATTAGGGTGGGTTTTGTTAATATGGGGAAGGGATTATTATATGGGGGAGTATTGCGGGGGTATTAAGGGGGATACTAGAAGTTTAGGCTAGCTCATGACTATAGCTCCTACTATGACTTGGGTTCGATTGAGGGTGTACGTGCCGTCCCCCAGACTCCAAGGAACGCCTAACGTGGCCCTAGGAAAGCTGTAGTCCTGTCAAAAGAGGGCAATACAACATGAACTCTGGCTGTGCTGGAGACCTCATGGAAGCTAGTATATAGTCCCCCTTAAGTAGATAGAATATGGGCTACATGGGGATCTTATTCTGATATACCCAAAGCCATAATCTACTTAAGCGGGACTATAGGATGCTGCTATGACTTTTCCTGCTCTTCTGGGGCATGGTCGTATCTTTTGAGGTCAAGCAGTTCTGGGTCGGATTGGACTTACAGTTTAGGATCTAGAAAGTAGATCCCCTTAAGGGTTCCCAGAAATTACCCAATAGTAATATAAGGTACCATATTGGGGGTTCTACTTTCTAGATCCTCCCAGGGGTCTGAGTAGAACCCAGCTTTAAAACAAGCAGTGCAGGGTCCAGGGTTGACAAAGTTTCATAATGGCGCGGCCATCATTATCATCTTCTTGTTCACTATCATCACCTCATGTCATGAGGGATCATGAGGGCTGACGACGGATGATGCGGCTAGGGTCGATGTACAGTGCAACGGGGATAATTAGATGTTCTATGGGCCTAACAGAGCTTGCATATCGGCATCTCGGGCCCGAAGGGACAATACTGGCTAAAGGGGCTTTAATGAGAACCCCCAAACTGGGAAAGCCCACGGTTTACGGTCGAGGGCTTAGATGAGTTTACAGCTTAGGGTCTTTATACTCCTACTGTTTCCCTACTATATACTTCAGGTTCCCTGTTTTGAGTTCCCATTAAGGTCCTTTACTGGCCCATGTCCGTACTGAGTTTCGTCGTAACGGTAGAATGGCGTCCTCATGCATAAAGTCGTATAGTCAAGCAACAGCTTGTTTTGCCGGGTGTAGACAAGTAGGAGGACCCCACTACAGAAAACTAAGTACTTTAATCCACATTGTATAGGAACCCCAGAAGAGGGAACCCCCAGTGTTAGAGTTTCCCAATATACCTGCCAAGTTGACATGGAGACTCATACATCCCTAGACTATCCCATTGTTCGAATTATTTTCTTGTCCATCTGCTCCTCGATTATTGAAAACCCTAGGCCGTAAGCCCCGCTATATCCGTACAGAACCCCTTTATAATCCCTATAGAACCCCGTACAATCGCAATAAAACCCCTATACCCTAACCCCCAAACAACATGGTAGCTGCCTTTTTACTTCCCATATTCTCTTCCATATGGTTCTCCCTTGTTGGAAGTGTTCAGGTTCTTTTCCATTCCCCCAGGTCCGTGTATAATCCCGCAACTAAAGCCTTAAACCCTAAACCCTTAGCCCTAATCCCTAAACCCCAAGCCCTAATCCCTAAACCCTAATCCCGAAACCCTAAACTGAACCTCAGGTTTTGCGGCGACTTCCACAACCATCGTTAGTGGCTGTGTTGCCATGCGCTGCCGGTTTGAGGCTCCCCAGGGCCATGTGAGCTACAGTCTAAATTCCTCAACGGGGGGTTTATATAGGCGACTATATAGGGTTTATGACTTAGGGTTTAGGGTTGAGGGTCTAAATTCCTTAAAGGGGCGTTATATAGGGGATCATATAAGGGAGTATTATAGGGGTTATCAAGGGGATACTCGGAGTTTAGACTATAGTTCATGTGGGGCTCTCTAAGGTTTTAAGGGCTGAGGGTAACCAAAGGATTCCAACGTTAGAATTAGGAGCTTACTGTCGTGATAATATGATAGTTACAAAGTCCCAACTGGGTTGTTCTCAAAATTATCGGCCCCTTTTGGTTACAGATTATATTATGGCGCCTAATATGTAGGGGTACCAAAACGGGACCCTAATTTTGGGGACTACCCAAAATCAGGGAGGGGTTGGGCTACCAAAGCCCTGTTATGAGCGGGTGGTTTTGGGAAGCTTGGGTTCAGGGCGAGTCTTGGGTTTAGGGTTGCAGGTGGAGGGCACCTTCCAGCATCACAAAAAGGGTTTATCGGCTTTAGGGTTTAGGGTTTAGGGGAGGGGGCTGTCGTGAGAAAACCCGCAGCAGGTTTCCCCCAAATTCGTGAGCTTTCGGGGAGGATACTAGCATCCCCACCCTCTTTGGGAAGTATACAAAAAACTCCGGCTTGACACGGCTATGTTGCTATGCTCAAACCTTAGAGTCCTACGATCTCAAGCTGACATAGAACTCCATGTAGCCAATTGTAAAGCGGCTCCATAGAATGCTTTCGGGTTCCATGCAGCTTTCGCGAGGGCAGATACAACTCTTTGCCATCCCTGCATCCCCACAAGCGGTTTAGGGTGTAGGGTCTAGGGACTGTAGGCATGTTTAGGGTATATCGAGATCGTTCACAAAAAGGTTGGGCCTTGCGACCTACGGACATGTGTATGGACTAGAGGCAAATTATGGTGGCCTCCCCTGTTGAGTGATATAGGTTTCTATTCTGAGCAAACTACACAATTGTTTGGGAGAATAGCTCCACCTTGAGGATGATGTAGGTGCTTGTGCTGCAAACCCTAAACCTCATTTACTGGTGTGTATTAGGGAATATGGGAATATATATATATATGTATATATATATATATGCATATCTCTCTCTCAATATATATACATATAGGGATTACGTAGGGATTATATCCCCTTGTGTCCTTATAAGCACCGGTAAGTAAACCTAAATTCATAAACCCTTTGGGACAACACCGAAGCTTCAGCAGGTTTACTGCCTCTACTCTTTCTATGCTGTTCTGGTCTACGCCTTTGTGGCGCACTGGGTCTGGGCTAGCAATGGCTGGCTGGCTCAGCTAGGACTCTCCCCAAAGTGCTTATGGTGTAGGTTTCAGGGCTTCTTCAGGTTTAGGGTTTAGGGTGTAGGTCTGAGGGCTTAGGATTTGGGGTTGCAAGGCCAGTGCTAGCAATGCTCTGAACATCAGTTGGAGATCCAGAACGTTGGGCTTTGTCTCCATCTTGGCCCACAAGCCCACAAACCACTCCAAACCCCGCCCAGCCCTAAACCAGGTAGACCGCATACATCCCCCCGCTGAAAAGGGGGGGTTTAGGGTTTACGTAGGTTTGACATTGTTTGTACTTTTTAAAGTAGCCTTTATCAGGCTTTATCCCTATATAATCCCCAAGTGGTGTCCTGAACCCCCTAAATTTTGTAGGGTCCCAAACGTACGCTAGTGAAGCCGAAAGACCTTAGAGGAGTACACGATTTTGCGGGGAGCGGCCCCGTGCATCTTCTTGGTGCAGTACCTGGGACCTTGTTAATTTAGGGTTGAGGGTTCATAGTAGGGTTGAAAAATTCCCTGGATACATCTGTAAGCTGGCCAGTTTTAAGCCACCTCACCCGCCCTCACCCTAAATGAGAGTAGTACCAACAAAATGGCCTTGAAATGGGAATTGCAATCATTCGAAATTACTGTGTAAGGCACCCCTTATGTTGAGAAACCCAGCAAACCCCTTGACCCTAAACATCCCCTGCTTTCTGCCAAATTCAAGTTTGGGCTCGTGAACATTGCAATCCGACCCGCTGAGCAGTAGGATTGACCTTTGTGTGCGTGTGTGACCGACTTCTTTGTGGATACTTGTGATATAGGAATAATGGAAAAGAACATGGAAGCTACTATAGTATAATAGGGTATATTTTGGTGTTTCTAGTTTAGGGTTTAGGGTTCAGGATGTAGGTGTTTAGGATTTATAGCTTTGTGTCTAGGGTTTAGGGTTTAAGTGATCATTCCGATGTTGGCTCATCCGTTTTGATTACTTATGCCCAAGAGGGATGGAACTTGGATAAAGAATCGTTCGACTTGCCTGCGTGTACGGAGGCCCAACAAGAAATTCAAAGGATCTTTTTGTACGGTAGTCCATTTCTTATGACTTGTTGCGCTCACTAGGGGAAATCATTCTTTGTCCATGACTTTTGTTGTTCTGCGGTCCATGCCTAGTTCCTCATCGCAGATAAGACATGGTCTTAAGGCGGTCCCATGCAGGACCCGCAAACCCTAGACCCTAAGCCCCACACCCTCAAACCTTAAACCCTTAACTTTAAACCCTGAATCCTAAGACCCTAAACCCCAAATTCTACACCCCAACCAGGCTAGTGGCCTCAATGCAATTCTGTGGCTGGGGCCGCGGAGAGGTCGCTTTGATGGTACCGTGCCGCCTCTCATACTGTATTTGGAATCTCAATACGGGTTCAGGGTTGAGGGTTTATACATATATATCTCTCTCTCTCTCTCTTTCTCTCTCTCTCTCTCTCTCTCTCTCTCTCTCTACCTATCTATTTACTTATTCATTTATTCATTCCCCACCCTCACAGTGGGGTTG